AACCCCAAAAACCCTAAAACCCTAGAGCCCCAAAAACCCTAAACCCTAAACCCTAAACCCTAAACCCTAGACCCTAAAACAGGCGAGAGTCCCAGGTTCCAGAAGGCGGTCATGGTACAGGCGGTGGAGCGCGCGTCTTCGTAGAGTTGCCATCTGGGCTCTTTCGGTTTAGGGTTTAGGGTTTAGGGTTTAGGGTTTAGGGTTTAGGGTTTAGGGTTTAGGGTTTAGGGTTTCTTGCTTGGGAACTTCATAGACTCCTAAACCCTAAACCCTACCTTAACCTACCAAAACCTACTTTTCTTTAGGGTCCCTATAGATTCCATACTAGGGTTTATAATAAGAACCTAGGAAAAGTAGGGTTTGGTAGTATAAGGTAAACCCTATACCCTAAACCCTAGACCCTAAACCCCTAAACCTAAACCCTAAACCCTAAACCCTATACCCTAAACCCTAAACCCTAAACCCTAAACCGTGGCTCTGCTATCATAACCTAGGGGTCCGAGAAGGATTAGGTTCAGGAGTTTAGGAGTTTTGAGTTTAGGCGTTTTGGGTTTCTTGGGTTTTGGGGGTTTAGGGTTTAGGGCTTAGGGGGTTTAGGGTTTAGGGGGTTTAGGGTTTAGGGTTTCTTGGGTTTTGCTCTGAGGGTTTTGGGGGTTTAGGGTTTAGGGTTTAGGGTTTAGGGTTTAGGGTTCAGGGTTCAAGGTTAAGGACCTTGAGTTAAGTTGCCACAGTAGGGCTCTGTAGTAGATAACACGGGTTCCTTAAAACCCCCTAACCCTAAATCCTGAACCCTGAACCCTAAACCCTAAACCCTAAACCCTAAACCCTGAACCCTGAACCCTAAACACCGAACCCTAAATTCTAAACCCTAAACCCCCAAACCCTAAACCCTAAACCCTAAACCCTAAACCCCCAAACCCTAAACCCTAAACCCCCAAACCCTAAACCCTAAACCAAAGCCATGCCGACCTGTGCCGGCGCTTGAATGTTTTAGCAAAGACGTGCTGGGTTTTTGCGGTTTGGAAGCACCCCACACCCTAAACCCTAGACCCGCAGCGGCTGAATACCCACGCCTTTGTCGAACTTGAGGAGGCCCCTTCTTACCTTAAACCTCCCTAGACTCAATAAACACTCATAGATTTCTAGACCACTACGAATAAGAGCCCCAATTTCTAGTGGCCCTAAACTCTAAGGCCCTACAACCTAACCGTAAACCCCTAAACCAAAACCTGAGCCGCCAGCATCCACGAGTTTGGCAAACTCTCCTGCGGCGAGCTCGCGCGGACTGACACCAGGAGGCCTGAGCCGTTAAACAGTTATCCATGTAGCCTTGAAAGGATCCTTTAAGGGGTTTAGGGTTTCAGGGTTTAGGGTTTAGGGGGTTTAGGGGGTTTAGGGTTTTAGGGTTTAGGGTCCAGGGTTGAGGGTTTAGGGTCCAGGGTTGAGGGTTTAGGTCTACACAGGCTTTTTCCACAGGGGGCCTGAAGCATCGGGACTTGTTGATGGTGTAGGGTTTGTTTGAAGCTTTAGTTCTACCGGCTTCGCGGTACTTTAATTCATACTATAGTTGCATAGAGACTACAACGGGAGCGTACTGCTGCTTGTGAAAAACCTGTATGTTAGGCTCGGTTCTTACACTTGCCATAGAAAGACTTTGCATCGACATGTGAGACTACTGCTGTCGAGTGGATATCTGAATCTGCTGCACTGATCTGATTTCTGCTTCATATTTTTTTGAAACGAATGATGACTTCAGGTTACGGGTGTGTGCTGACGACTCAGCTTCTCGCCACGGTGCCCTGGTTGCTATATAGCAAGCAAGCAAAGACTACAAAAGCCCTCAACCTTGCAATTCCTGCACCTTTTTCTTTCTGCGAATCATTGCTGGAACGGCTCCTTGGGGGCGGTGCTGTGCCTGGGTGGCGTCGCTATCTCTGTGGTTGGGCTCTTATCAGTTGGGGCGGGCTGGCGACTGTAAACATCGACTGTCCGGCATGGGAAACTGAAACTGCTTCTCCTAATCACTACCAGAGGAGCCTTCATTTTTGTCATCGGCTTTCCCTAAAGTACCTAGAAAGCGACTACCCTAAGGCCAAAGGATATAATATTTGTGTACATGGACCCTAAACCATAAAACCCTTGTGGAATCCTTACAGTAGACCCCTAAACCCTAAACCAACAAGCCCTCATGGAATCCTCACAGTAACCCCTTAAACCCTAAACCATAATGCCCTTATGGAATCCCTATAGTTCCCCCCTAAACCCTAAACCCTGAAACCCTTTTCGGCATGGGCTTGGATTGCGTGGCCCTAAACCCTAAAGCCTAACCCCTAACACCCTGAACCCTAAACCCTGCAACCCTAAAACCCTAAACCCTAAAACCCTAAACACCCTAAACCCTAAAACCCTAAACCCCCTAAACCCCCTAAAACCCTAAACCCCCTAAACCCCAAACCCTAAACCCCTTAAAGGATTCCTTCAAGGCTACATGGACGTTTAGTTGCCGTCGCGATGACAATTTGGTGGTCCCGACCATGGCAGTAGTCGCAGCAGTAGAGGGCTTAAGGCTAAAATTATTCTAACTAGTATTATTACTATTAGTGGTAGTAGTAGTAGTAGTAGTAGTAGTAGTAGTAGTAGTAGTCGGAGGTAAGTAAATAAGTAAATAAGTAAGTAAGTAAGTAAGTAAGTAAGTAAGTAAGTAAGAGAGTGACAAAGTAAGCAAGTAAGTGAGTACGTGAGTAAGTAAGATAGGCAGTGAGTGAGTGAGTAAATGAGTAAGTGAGTAAGCGAATAAGTAAGAAAGTAAGTAAGTAAGTGAGTAAGTAAGTAAGTAAGTAAGTAAGTAGGAACCAGTGGGCGTAGCAACCGCACTGCACTTGCTGATATCGCTGTTGTTGCTGCTGCTGCCGTGGCTGCGAGTGCTGCTCTTGTTGGTGTTCAATCACACATCAATGTCCAGATGGGGTTGCAGGCTCTTGTGGTTGTCCTTGTTGCTTCGTTGCCTCTGATGTTGAAAATAACCCTAAACCCTAAACCCTTTCTGGAGTTTGTGCTTGCCTTGCTGCTGCTCTCAGGGTAGTTCTTACGGATGTTGTCTCTTCTGTTCTTGCGGCTGGTCGCCTACACTGTCAGCGCTGCTGCTTTCATGGCCACGAACATTCTTGTTGGTGCAGTGGGCAGATATCCAGCTGGCTTCAACAATTCATGGCAGGTGGCAAGGTATTGGGTTCGACTTGCCATTGTGGCTTGTGCCTTCGGGCACGTCATGGCACAATCATCGACGTACTCATGGCGCACAGAACATTTCAAATCCTGACCTATGCATGGAACCCTCAAGCTCGAAACCTGCAGCGCTTGTTGCAGCTACCCTAAGCCCTCAAACCATTAAACCCTCAAGCTTGCAAACCCTAAATCCTTCAACCCTTGTCAAGCCACTAACAGAAATTTTAGGGTCTTTTTCCCCATTTTTAGGGTTTAGGGTGTTTCGGTTCTTTTTCAGGGGGGGCTTTGCTGTTCTAGGGTTAACCCGAGGAAGCTAGCAAACCCTACGCCCGTAACGCCTATAAGCTTGGCATCATCCTCCTGCCAAATTGCACTAGGGTTCAGGGGGTATTGCAAGAACATGTTACGGAAGTCTATACGGAATACTGTTGCTAAAGGCTACCACAAAGCCTTACTTACAATATGGACACTCTGTGAAAACCTCGCCTGTGCTAGGCCACGCAGAGAACCCAATACCCCTTAAGTAAGGAATATACCTTAAAATACAGGGGCCTTCATATTATGATTCAAGGTTTTTCCCTCAATTCCCTTAAACCTTAAACTCTTATAGATCCCTTTAAAGAGCCCTCTAAGGTATAATTCCTTAATTAAGGGGTATTGGGTTCTCTGGGCACGTACACCGCACCCTAAACCCTAAACCCCCCTAAACCCTAAACCCTAAATCCTGCATTTTCTGGCCATGGCGCCACAGCTGCGCGCCCAGCCGCTGAAGGGACGACGGAAGCGAACGAATGACACGACCTTAGGGTTTAGGGTTTAGGGTTTAGACCTTAAGTAGGAGATGTATCGTTAGGGCTTTGAGGCTTTGGGTTGCGGTGTACCCTAATGTAGGAACCTGATTAAGAAACCCTGGGACTTTATTAGGGTTCTTAGTATGAGCCCTAATATATTGGGGCTACAGGGGCAGGGTTTCTTAATCAGGTTCCTACATTAAACCTCTAAACCCTCAACTCTAAACCCTAAACCCGGTCTAGGGCTTTAGGATCGTAGGGTTTCAGGGTTGAGGGAGCGAGGGTTTTCTGCAGAACCTCACACCGACGATCCTAGCATGGCGCAGCTCATAAGGGTTACTATAAGGGCTGAAAATAGGATATAGGGGCCTCAATTGAAACAGGGTTTCGGGGTATCTTATGCCATACTTGTACTGAAGAAACACCGGCAACATGCCAGCATTGGTACGCAGGGGCGAATTGATGGAATCATTGAACTGGAACGCTTTGTGGAGCGTGGCAGTTGTAGAGCACCCTTTACCCTCAACCCTAAGCCTCTAAACCCTAATTAAACCCTAAACTAACCATGACCATGGCAATGACTATGATGAGACAGTTGCGGGCATACTGGGAACTCAACACATGGAGAAGCTGCGCCAAGTGACAAATCGCTGTGGTAGTGGCAGCCGAAACAATTGGGTTTAGGGTTTAGGGTTTAGGGTTTTAATTCTACGAAGAACCAGGATTACAGAGATGGAAGCAGCCGCAGAGGCTGGTAGGGGGGGATCTGAAGTGCAGGCGAAGCGGCTACACGATCAAGGGTGATGCTTGCTCAACAATGGCACTTGGCACTCCTGTTGTCAATATATCAATATTTTGCTGCGACGAGGCTTGTGAACGTGACGACATTACGATGACGACGGCATGCTAACCCCGGTCCTAGGGAGGTGCACGCACTCACATCTACAGTATAAATCGTGTTTGATGCACACCCAAAGTCCTACAACCAAGACCCCATACTCTCAACACAAATCCAAACCTGCACCATGATCCCTGAACCATCAAATATCCGCAAACCCCAAGCCACCAAATTCCTGCCTCAAGCCCTTTTTCAGCATGGGCTTGGATTGTGTGCCAGCGAACACACCTCAACAGCAGGGCCTTCTCGTTTAACGAGGGATGCAACAGGACCCCTAAAGCCCTAAACCCTAAACCCCTCAAGGGCCCTGGCTTGGCCATGCCTCCTTGCGGCCATCATCCAGCAGAACCGTCTGCAGAGAGCGCCTTGGGATCTGGCCCTGCTTCGAGGGTTTCAACATTGTTTCGATTATTGTTATTATGGCTAATTATTGCTACTATTACGTAGTAGTGTATATTATTTCTATTATTATTGTTATTACTATTATTGTTATTGTTACTATCTTCTCGTAAACCAGATTATGTGACATTGTATTACACGGGCTGCAGTCATCACAAAGCCCCACAGTCTGGGTACATGGTCCGGCTAAGAACCATGATGTGCAACACCCGTAGGCTCCATAGTAGTTCCTTTTTGGGATTCCCTAATAGGATCCTAAACATGAGCCACAAAAAGGAACTACTACGGGGCCTATGGGCAATTCTATACATTATACTACATTGTGCCACAATGTATTATTACGCTTGATGATATACTTGCTGCACTACCCATAATAAGGAATATGCCTTAAATTCCCATAGTTTAGGGCCCTTTTTGTAATACAGGAGTTCTGTCAGCAGCAGCATTACACCATACTATAATATATCTATCATCGAATATCAGGTTATGTTAAATCGCTGGTTTTTAATGCCTTAGGGTTTGGGGTTTGGAAAAGCTGCAGGGTTTAGAGTTGAAGGCCTAGGATTCCTGCTAGGGGGTTGAGGTTTTAGGGCTTAGGAAAGCTGCGGGTTTAATTCACTTAATTGGCTTATATAGTGTAGGGAACAATTATTTTTGGGCCCTACACAGCGCATGACGTAACTTGAACGGTGCACTATATGCAGCTTTTAGTGTCTACCGGGGAGGATCACGCGTGCCTGTGAGCAGGTTGCAAGTAGGGTTGTAAGCTGTGGTCGGACTCAGTATAAACTTCTGGCAACGGACGTACTTACAACGTCTGTTTTGAAGGATCACAACGTCGAGTTTAGATGCTTTGTCTACTCTAACCATGCAGGGTGCAACTAATGTAGCGGCCTTAACAATTAGAATAGGGTTTTGGGTGTATTTTATACTATTTTCATAATAAGGAACCCCAGAATAGTATAGGTAATTATTAAGGCCCCTATA